CAATAAGTAAAACATATCCCCCTCTTTCCAAGGAGCTGGTCTCTGACCCCTATGGATATTAAAGTCTGGATGCCCACGTCTGTCTCTTAAAGCCAGTGGTGCCCACAGGCCCTCAGTCCACCCGGTCCTGCCACCCGCAGCCCGAGAGGAAGGGCAGTTTAGCTGGTGAGAGAGGATTTCAGCTCAAAGCGCTCCCACCAAACAGGGCAGGGAGGCAAAGCAGTCTGCAGGGAAGGCTGACTTGTCAGGCCGAGGGGAGGGGAGAAGCGGGAGAGGGGAGCAAAGACACAGACTCGGGTTGCCCCCTGAGCAGCGGAGGGTTATGTGCAGCCAATGGAGAAACTAAAAAACGAGGAGCGGCTTCTCATGAGGCAGGAGAAAAGGGCACAGCGTCTGTTTGATACCAGATGCCCCGAGGTCCTCATCCAAGGTCCCCATCTCCCTTCTGATGGAACTAAAAAGCTATTTTATCCATGGTTGTGTAAGGGTACAACTACTTTGGAAATACGTGTGACATGGAGGGAATCTTGCCTCATATCATTTTTAAAATGTAAAAGCTTTTGTTTTATCTATCTATCTATCTATCTATCTATCTATCTATCTATCTATCTATCTATCGTGTGTGTGTGTGTGTGTGTGTGTGTGTGTGTGTGTGTGTTTATGTTTTGGGCAATGTTTGAGACAGGCTCTCACCCTGTAGCCCTGGCTGGCCTGGAGCCATGTAGACCAGGCTATCCTCCAAATCACAGAGCTATGCCTGCCTCTGCCTCTTGAGTGCTGGGATTAAAAGTGTGCACCACCATGTTTTACTAAAAGCTTTTATTGTAAAGGCAAAATAATTTCTTGGTTTTACCTTTTGCTTTTTAGGGGTTTTGATTTCTTTTAAAATTATGTTTTACCTACCTACCTATCTATTATTTATTGTGGGGGGAGCTGGGGGGTCGTATGGTGCATGCTGTGGTTCTTCCCTTCCGTCATTTGGAACCTGAGGAATCAAACAGAGGTTGCCAGGCTTGATGGGAGCCACCTTTATCTACTGAGTCACCTTGATTTTATTTTATCCTTTTGTGCAACCAGAGAATACCAAATGACAGGGGGCTTTGACTGTGTGTGTGGGTGGGGGGGGGGCGGTTCTCTACCATTCCCTGTGCAGGGTGAGCAGAGCTGGTGGTGGATTTTCCATCCCATACAGCAAAGCTGTACGGACTGTCCCCCTGCCTCAGCATCCACTCTCAGTCTCAGCTGGACCTCTACACAGTTGCCAGTTATCACAGCCCCTCAAGGTTGACAGGTACAGTCCTGCCTTACACAAACCTCCTCCTGGTGCCACCTCCCCAGGGCACAGCTGGAGACAATCTACTTGATTTACCCAGCTGACCCCCAAGTCCCTTAGAGAGAGTTCAGACACCCCACTCTGGCCACGGATGTCACAGAGCCTCAGTGGAACTCAGGCTGCTTGCTCTAAGCCCCCAACTAGGACTCCCCACGGGAATCCTGCCGGGGTAGCACCCCAGCATCCCCGACCCTGTCCTCCTCCTCTCCTTCTGGCTCCCCCCCACACTGTCTGATCCTCTGCTCTGGCTCTGCTCTGGGCAGCTTCTCTTTCCCACCGGCTCTGGAGGCCCCCTGTTCTCTGGGATTTTAATTATCGCAGTGATTGTGTTGGCCCCTGGGCTTTGTTCTCCCGCCGCTGCCGCTGCCGCCTCCGTTCTCACCTGACCCTCACTTGGACCTCGCTCTTTTCTTTCTCCTTAGAAATCAACTGGACAAAAGACAAACATAACAAATGTAGGTGGTCAGCTTGAGAGTTTTGGCCTTAGCTTGTGGGGGAGGAAGCCATATGCATTTAGTAGAAATTGTACCTTGTATTTTAAATTCTGCTGTTTTTCTAAAGCCAGCAATATGACACAAACACTTCAGATCCCGGGCAGCACAAGCTGCAGCTCTTAGTCAGCCATGCAATCAGGAGGGAAAAAAAAAAAAAAAAAAAAAAGCGGTACTCTGCGCACACAGCGTTGCTAAGCAACCGTGTTCGGTAAGTGAGGTGTATTCAATTTGTTTTCAATTAAGATATTTTCAGTTTACAATGTGTTTATTGAGGTGTAATCCCATCATAAATCAAGGATTATCTGCATAAACAAGTTCCTCCCGTGAAGGACACACAGTCACAGGTTGGACACTTGACCATTTAGGCCAAGCCACAGCAGTGTCCAGAGAAAAGCACACTGAAACATCCATGACCACCTCCCTAGGAGGCCTGCCAGGGCAGAGCTGGGGCCTCTCCCTGAATAACCGAATCAGGGGAAGAGATGCAGCCCCCAAGCAGGATGTGCCGGTGAGGGAGCGGCCCTCCCCCACCCTTGACCTCCGCGGTGCCCCACAGTGGGGGAGGCAGCTCTCAGGCTGAAATTCTTGTCACGGCCTTTCTATGGCTTCCCAGTGCCTCAGCTGCGCGCTGCCTGCCCTGTCCACCCCCAAGTGTCACTCTTGCCATTATCAAAGTAAATCCTCCCAAAGGATGCACAAGGACCTTCCACTGGACCCCAGAGGGGCCCTGGACTTACAAAAGAAAGAGACAGAGGCTTTACAGCTCACGCCAGAAAAGCCAGCGGACCTACATTTGATTTCCAAGTTTTAATCCTGTCCCCAGTGGAGCTGAGGGCTGAGGGTTTGCAGGAAAGGCATTCTCAGAGCTGGGGCACAAGGAAACGTCGTCCTCTGTGCCTGCAAGAGCAGGCAGGCATGTTGGGACTGGTTGAGGTCTTGCTAGGTGCCCAGGCTAGTTGCAGACTCTTGCCACCCCTCTGTCCTCTGCCTCCTGAGTGTCTGGAGTATAGGTTTGATCGACTCTGCTCATCAAACGAATACTCATTTTCCCCCACTTTCTTTTCAACAGCAGAGATTAAACCCAGGCCTCCTCATGTATACTGCTAGTCAGGCTACCTACAGCTTAGCCTAAGACTATCCCCTTAACCAGCATGAGAATAACCCCGCAGCAGAAAACCAAGCATTCAACCACAGAAAGAGGGCTGAAGCTGCCTTAGCTTCTGCAGCTCTTTGCATCCCTGACGCTAATGAGGGCACTCGACAGAGAGAGGCAGCTGGCTGAGATCGGGGACAATAGGAACTCAAAATGGAGGCTGCTGTAGACAACAGAAATTTTTTTGCTATCACTATAAGCATAGCAGGTAACTATTCAAAGAGAGGGCAAGAAATGTCAACCACCTAGAAAGACAAGCCATTCTAAAGATCTTATTCAGAGACCAAAATAAAATAAAATAAAAAAGGGTGGGACTGAGATGTCACAGCCTGCAGAAGATCCTAGTAGGCACACAGCTCTGGGTTTGAACAGAGCACAGCAAGGTGTGTGTGAGTGTGTGTGTGTGTGTGTGTGTGTGTGTGTGTGTGTGTCTCGTGGGTGTATTAGCTCTTTTGCCTTTCCCCATTTCTTGCTGGTAGCTAGAGACCGAATCTAAGAACCGTGGCTTCCAGTGGATTTAAAATCTAAATCTAAATTAAAGCTTATAAAGTGTATGTGTGTGGGTGTGGGTGTCAGGTGACTTCAAAATCAAATTGGAAAGAATTTATATTTACAAAAGAATGACATTCTTAAATGGCAATTTGTAGTCATAGTCCTGCAATTAAAATGTTTTGAACATTTAAAATCGTACTTCCATACTGTTTTTTAGGAGGGTTGCTTCCTTGCTCTTGGCTGCCGCTGTCACAATTGTGTTCTGTCACATTTTAGGTTGTGGGCGTCCAATTTTCCTAATAGGCTTATGGTAATGTACTGTGAACAAACGAAAATCTAGCATGTCATGTTGATGGCATTAAATTGTAAGTCAACAGCTTATTGACATTTGAAGGTACTAATGCTTGATATCTTCCTAAAAAATATCTTTCTTCAACTTTTACTTTGGAAAGTTACTGTTGTTTCAAGAAGAATCACAACTACATGGTTTACCTTTTCAGGGCACAAACCTAGAATGGTGCACATGCCTTTAATCCCCACACTCAGTACTACAAGTGAGACCTCCCTCAAAATAAGTTAATAAATAAATGAAAAAATTTTTAAAGATTAAGTTAATTGAATAAAAATGTTCAATTCAGTTATGTTAAGGATTGTGGCTGGGTGGGGGTGGTGCAGGTAAATCCCTGAGTTCGAGGCCAGCCTGGTCTACAGACCAGGTTCTGGGACAGCCAGGGCTACACAGAAAAACCCTGTCTCGAAAAAACAAAACAAAAAAAAAACCCACCCAAGACAAAAAACAAAGCCACAAATGTGAAGAATTGTGGCCTTTGGTCAGGTGTGGTGGTGCAGACTTTTAATCCCAACACTGAAGAGGCAAAGGTAGGCTGATCTTTGTTTGAAGCCGGCCTGGAATTTCAGAACCAGGACTACTGAAGGCGACCCTCTTAATCCCAGCACTCGGGAGGCAGAGGCAGGCAGATCTCAGTGAGTTCGAGGCCAGCCTGGAAAGGCGCAAAGCTACACAGAGAAACCCTGTCTCGAAAAAAAAACAAAAACAAAACAAAACAAACAAACAAAAAATAACATCAACAGAAAAATAATTAATGGAATTGACAAATAGGTATTTGTCATGAGAACCCAAGGGCTTGTGACCATCACCCATAACCATCACGAAATCAAGTATAGAGGTTGTTCTAAGTGAAAAAAAAACCTCAGTATAGGCAAGGCACCGTCTGACTCGACCCTTGGGAAGGACAGAAAGAGCAAAAATTTGTTTGCTCGGCTTTGCGCGTGCGCACATGCGCGTGCATGCTTCGCGAGATGCCTGGTGGAAGTCTTTCCAGCAGTCTTCAGCCCTGTCCTTCAGGGATCAAACACTGGTCAGGCTTGGCATTCATTGACTTTAAGGTACTTTTAACTACAGTTTTTAAGTCTTGGTGGAAGAACGAGGGCATAAAAAGAGATGGTTGGTGTCTAGTCCTAATTTCATTAACTTGGATTCTACCTTGTTTGGGTTTGGTCTCTCTAGACCCGGAAACGCAACGGAGGCCTTCGGATCGCTCCCTACTGCACCCCGAGCGGAGGCTCAGCCTCCTGTGTCCAGGAAGCGAAGTCAGCAGCCGCGGCCTGCCTCTGGTAACGGTGCAGAGTGGGGGTGGCTGGGGTCGGACTGCCATGTTAATCCAGCTGTTCACCCTTTAGTATGGGCCCCGGATTTGGCCACTGCCGAGGTGCGATCGCCGAGAGGCTTGCCTTGCTGGGGCGAAACGTGACCTTGGCACGCGCCGCTCGAGTGCCGCGTGCTGTGCCGCGCGTGCAGGACCGTACACGGGCCGCGTGTGGCGTGGCAGGGCATCAGCGGTCCATAATGGTATCACAGTACCTAGCATTCCAAGAGAAGACCTGGGCAAGCAGGACCAGACGGGACAAACTGTTCTCCAGACTCCCGAGCTGTGTTCTTAGGGAACCAAAGGACCAAAAGAGAATAAGAAAGAGCTAAATATTTGGGGAGGAGGAAGGGCTAAATCCAGGTAGTGGATCTGAGTCATGAAAGGGGATGTAAAGCCAATTTATTTCTAGTTCTTACTCTATCATGGGATGTTTTGGCTTTAGTGGTCTATAAGTACATAAAATATATTTCATTATAAAATGTAAAGTAGGGGGCTGGAGAGATGGCTCAGAGGTTAAGAGCACTGGCTGCTCTTTCAGAGGTCCTGAGTTTAATTCCCAGCAACCACATGATGGCCCACAACCATCTGCAATGAGAGCTGGTGCCCTCTTCTGGCCTGCAGAGATATGTGCTGTATACTTATATAAATAAATCTTTTAAAAATAAAGTATCAAGTAAGCCCTTAGATGGGCAGTGGTGGACACATTGCCTTTAAACCCAGCACTCAGGAGTTAGAGGTAGATAGATCTCTTAGTTCAAGGTCAGCCTGGTCTACAAAAGCAAGTTCTAGCGAGTCTGGTCTACACAGAGAAACGCTGAAAAACTAGTAACTAAATAAATAAATAAACAAATAGATAGATAAATGTGTAAAATCTATGAGAAGGCTCACAGCTTCTGTTCTGAACGCCTGTTTTCACTGTGTCAGAACATCACTGAGTCATATAGAGTCATTTAGAGGGAGGGTATTTTGTTTTGTTTTTTTGAGACAGAGTTTCTCTGTGTAGCTTTGGAGGTTGTCCTGAAATTCACTCTGTAGACCAGGCTGGCCTCACACACAGAGATCCCCCTGCCTCTGCCTCCCAGTACTGGAATTAAAGGCCTGCGCCACTACTGTTAGGCTGGTGTGAGATGTTTTTATTTATCTAAAAAGGTTTTTGGTTTGTTTGTTTGTTTGTTTTTAAACTGAACTGTTTATCTTCAGAAGGGATGAGCAGTAGGTAAGTGTGACAGATACATCACATCAATGCAGGAAAGTTTTTTCCTCCCTTTAATCTTAAAAAACAAAACAAAACAAAACAACTTGTTTTCAGTTCAGAGTTCCACTTCTGCTTTCTCCACAGTGAACTTTTCACAACAGTGCGTGGCATTCTGGGTTTACCACTACTTAAAAATCCACAATTGAGCTGTCATTAACTACAAGAAAGCTGAGAAAATTCTCCCCAAACACTTATCAAGACCGGAACTCTGAACTCTGAGGAGCGTCCCTCACCAGCCAGCTGGTGTGAAAGCTGCCTTGTGAATAAATTTTCTGCAGGCTGGTTGCATTTCTGTCAGTTTGAGGAAAGCAAACACTGAGAGAGCTTATCTGTTAATGTTCTATGAGGGGTCCGGAGGCAGTGGTGTCTGAATGTAACCTCCAAGTCCAGACTGAAATGGATGAGGTTTTTCCAGCTTCCGCTGCCCATTCTTTCTAGCCGCCTCATACCTCTTTGGCTTTTGAAATGACACTATGCAAAGGATACTGGGTTTTGAGTGTGTTTTTTTTTTCTTTCTTTTTTTAAGATTTATTTTTATTTTATGAGCATTGCCATTTGTCTGCATGTATATCTATGCACCACATGCCTACAGTGCCCTGCAGATGCTAGAAGAGGGGACGGGATTCCCTAGAACCTTGTTCCAGGTAGTTGTGAGCCCCCATGTGGATGCTGGGAATCAAACCCTGGTCCTCTGGAAGAACATCCAGTGGGTGCTCTTAACCACCTTCCATTTTTCCAGCCCCAAGTGAGTTTTTTTTTTTTCTTCTAAAAGAAAGATCCGCCGGGCAGTGGTAGCGCACGCCTTTAATCCCAGCACTTGGGAGGCAGAGCCAGGCGGATCTCTG